TAAAAACAAGTATCTCCATTGATCTAACTTTCTTAAAGCTTAAGTCAATGATCGTTTTCTACCTGTGGGTCTCCGAGTTGTTTCAAGGGGTCTGTGAATCCCTTGCAATATGTATACCAAGAAACATTTACTTCTGGTACATACATTGAGTGCTCTGGTAATGAAAGAAAAGACAAGCCTTCAACCAAGCAGATTCAAAATCTAGATAATAATGTGGTCCAAATGATCTCTTTATAGTTGGGTCTAGACTCAGAGAACATGCATTTGAATCCTGTCTCTGACCTTACTGCCTGTGTGACTCTGGGCAAATCACTTAATTTTTCTAGGATTCTGTTTCCTCATGTATAAAGTAAGTTGGATGGACTAGATTCTAAGGTCTCTTCAAATTCTAAAATTACAACTCTCTGATCCATTATCATTTTGATGTTTAATATCCAGAAAGACTCAAACATAAGCAAACATACTTTTTATAGACTGAATAATATGTCCCACATGTGTGTATTACTATTTTTAAAATGTATATAGATGCTATTAGGATAAATAAAATACAAATTAACTAAAAAACATTAATGAATCCATAGTAGGAGTTTAGTACAGTGCCTGGAACAAGGTTAAGCACTTAATAAAAGCTCTTGATTGATTGACCATAGGACTTAGAGATGGAAGGGACTGGGGAAATCATCTAGTCTAACCCTTATATTTTACAGATATGGAAACTGAGGTTCAGAGAGGTTAGGGAGTTTGTCTAGGATTACACAGAAGCAGAATTGGAACCTAGCTCTGACCCCAAGTCTAGCATTTTATCAACTATGCCACTCTACACCTTTTCATCATCCATTTTCTTATTTATCATCACATATTACTTTGTATATATATAGTTTATAGTTACTTATATATGTACTGTATCGTCTGGCTGGAACATAAGCCCTTGAGGCAGGGACTGTTTCATTTCCCTTTTTGTATCCCTAGAGCCCTGTGCAGTGCCTTGCACATAGTAGGTACTTAATAAATATTTGTCAAATTGAATTTTTGAGTTGAATTAATAGGGACTGAAAGCACAATTATTGTCATGTGGATTCAGGAAATTGTTTAAAAAGAGGTACTCGTATTTTGTGTTTAAAACTCTCTTTTTTGACAGCTGCATGATAGACATTCAGGAGAATGGTGAAAACCTATGATCTCCTCAGTGTAGAGAATCCTAGTGTAAAAATGACCTCTGTTAATAGAGATCAACAACTCATCTGCCATGCCTCAGAGAGGGTCCTAAACTTAGTCACAGGACCCTGAATTCGAATCCCAACTCTACTAATTACTCTTCTATGTGACCTGGGTCAAGTCTCTTAGCTTCTCTTGGCCTCCATTTTGTCAACTATAAAATGATGGATAGGGATGGACTAGATGACTTTGAAGGTGTTTTGCATCTGTAAATCTGTGATACTATCAGGGTCTGGAGGAGAGAAATCCTCAATGACAATCTTAAGAGGCAAGGTGTCCTTACTCCAGAACCAGGGGCTAGTAGTGAAGGGCTAAGGCTATTACCTGAATCCTTCAGGAAGTGACACTTTTTTTTTTTGCTAAAATCATCCAGTGTTGTTGGTGGAGCCCTGGTTTTGAGAAAAAATTTAGGGGCTCCCTGCTTTAAAGAAGCCCAACATACAGAATTCTAAATTGACTCACAATATAAGCTAGTCACTGATTATGCAATCTGCAAAAAGAATCTTCACTTTTTGAAGGACATCTTGTAAAATTCTTTGAAATTTCAAACTACTGGAGTGTTTTTAATTTATCCACTGTCTAGTCACATCCCACTTTTCAGGAAGACAGCTTTTCTGTAAAGTATGGTATATGTATACCTCAATAGATACAGAATAAGCTATTCAAGGGTATCAGTTCCTTGAGGGTAGGGATTGGTTTTGTCTTTGTATCCCCGCCTTCCCCTTCCCATTTCTAGCCTTGAGGAAGGAAGGAAGGAAGGAAGGGAGGAAAAAAGGAAGGAAGGGAGAAAGGAAGGAAGGAAGGAAGGGAGGGAGGGAAGGAGGAAGGAAGGAAGGGGTGGAGGGAGGGATGGGGAGTAAAAAAGGCATTTATTAAATGTTTATTATGTGCCAAGTACTTTGCTAAGCACTGGGAATGCAAAAACAAAAGCAGAGATAGGCCTTTCCCTAAGGACTCTTGAAATGTGCAGGTCTCCAAGGGCAGTGAATCTACCCCCTCTCCTCTCACCCCAGTCCTTTGCAGTAAATAAGATTCTACCATATATTATAGAATAAAGCCTCCCCCTCTTCCCTCCTTGTCTACATAAGTAGTCATGGCACCAAGAACTGCTTTAAATGCTGCCTTATCAAATATAGCTAGAGGTGGGTTTGCACACAGTTTCTCAAAAGTCCGTGCACACGGCTACAATTCATCTTCTAATTACGTATCCACAATCCACTGATGAACAGTCAAAAACAATCTACTCTCCCTATAATAGACAGAAACCTTCTTCAATATAAAAAACAAATAAAAAAAAATATATATATATAAAACAAATGCATCTGATTTGTATTCCTACTTCTCTTCTCAATATCTAATTCCAGCCCAATCTAACAATTATCAGGAAATTTCACCAGTGCAGAATGAGACAGGAGGGGGACAAACTATAATTGGGAGCTGCATTTCACTTTCTAAATCACAATTTGTTTTAACTGCATGATTGCTTGAGAGAGGAAAGAGCAGGAAGTTAATTCATTAAAGTAAAAATGTACCCAAAAGACTTAAAAGTACCCTTTTTAAAAATTTTTTGTTTCATACCCTCACTCTTAAATGTCAGCCCAGGGAGCCCACAAAAGGAAGGAAGAGTCAAATGATTAGATGAGTCCCGGGAAGTTAGGGAACTGTAATGTCTGGACTCTGGGTAGTTGTCTTTTCAGTCAACAGCAATCCATTGTCTTCCTGGGGAAAATCACAGCCAGGCTGCTCTCTTTCTAACTGCAGTGTCACTCTCTTTATCCATCTGGGATGCCAGTTACCATGAGATTTAATCAATTAAGGAATGTAGAGAACTCACAGTGATGGAGTCTCTAGAGAACAGAGACCTGGAATGTCCTCCAGAGTCTCAGAACCACAAACCTGGAAACACTATCAAGGCTTTCCTCTGTGAACACTATGCCTCCAACTCTTGCAGTTAAGGGAGAAGTAGACTGGTTGAATGGGTGGTCATTGACCAGGAAATCCATCCTTGCCATCTACTGGTTGTATAGTAGGGAAGTCACAGCTTCAGAGAGCCTCATTCTCTTCATTGTAAAAATGTGTAAAGCAATAGGATGGTGGTGAAGAGTAAAATTAGTAGGTGAACTCAGAATAAAAAATTAGTAGGTGGACCAGAGACAACTGTGAGTATAAGTGGAAAGAGCACTGAATGCAGAGTCAGAAAACTTAGGTTTAAGCCTGCCATTGTCACTTATGAAAGTGATTCTGGCTAAGCAACTTCACCTCACTGGCTATAGTTTTCTCAACTGTAAAATGACGGGGGTTAAACTGGATATCTCCTAAGGTTCCTTGAAATCATACATTTGTGATTTTATGATCACAAGTGGCTTTTGAAGTCCTTCCCAGCTCTAGATTCCTATCCTGTGTAGAAGTTATTAAGCATTCTACAGGGGCAGCTAGGTAGTACAATGGATAGAGTGTCTGACTTGGAGTCAGAAAGACTCATCCTCCTGAGTTCAAATTTGACCTCAGACATTTATTAACTGTGTGACCCTAGGCAAGTCACTTAACCCTGTTTGCCTTAGTTCCTTACCTGAAAGTGGGCTGCAGAAGGAAATAGCAAATAACTCCAGTATCTCTACCAAGAAAAGCTTAAATGGGGTCAGGGAGAGTTGGACAGGACCGAAACAAGTAAACTGCAACGAAAGCCTTCTGCAAAATGGGAATAACAGTTTGCTTTCAATCCAACAAATGTTTATTAAGTGCCTACTATGTGCAAAGCACTGTAGATAAAAAAAAATTTAAGTAAGGCATGGATCCCACATTCAAGGAACTCATTATGGGAGGGGGAATAAAATTTGCACCTGAATAACTAGAAGGAAGAAAGATACAACATAGTAAGTACAATGCAGAGATAAAAAGTACTCTGAAAATTTGAGAGGTCACTTTTACCTCTGAGAAACCGAGGAGGTAGCACTTGAGTTGGACTTTGGAAAAAGAATCATAAGATTATTGAATTAGAAATAGAAGAGATGATAGAGGTCGTCTGGTTCCATGCCCTCTCTTTACAAAGGAGACAGAGCCCCAGAGAGCTAAAGTGATTTGTTCAAGATTAAATAGGTAATAACGGGTTGGGGGAAGGAAATAAGCATTTATATAGCACCTACTATGTGCCGGGTAATGTGCTATAATGTAAGTATTTTACAAATATTATCTCATTTGATCCTCACAATAACCCTGGAAGATAGGTGTTGCTATTATCCCTATTTTACAGTTGAGGAAATTGCGGCAAACAGAAATTAAGGAACTTTCCCAGGATCACACAACTACTAAGTGTCTAAGGTCAGGTTTGAACTCGGGTCTTCCTGACTTCAGGCCTAGAACTCCTTATTTGCCTAGGTAATAAGCAGCTGAGCCAGGATCTGAATCCAGGTACTCTGATTCCAAATCCATCACCCTCTCCATTGTGTACCATGCTGCCTCTGAAGGAAACGAAACAGGCAGAGTTGGGGGCAGGAGGATATCAAGACACAGGGGTCCATTGAGGGCGCTGGAGACAACCTGTACAACAAGTAAAGTTTTATCATATTTACAAAAACAAGTGAGCCATATTTGGCCCACCCCTGGCTAGAGCACTGAGAAATTAAATTACTTGCCCAGGTTAGCTTTGACCTGAGTCTTCCTGACTCTGAGGCCAAATCCCTATCCCTTACCCCACACTTCCTCTCTTTTGGAGCTAATTAGATGTGGATGACCTAGTGGCCAAAGGCCCTAGTCTAGACTTCATCTTCTTTATTTTCTGCTTCTAGGTGAACAAGAGCCAGCGGTCAGCAGTGATTCAGATATCTCATTGATCATGGCAATGGAAGTTGGACTCTCTGATGTGGAGCTTTCCACTGACCAAGACTGTGAAGAGGTGAAATCCTGAAACACTGAGCAAAGACGAAGGGGATGGTCGGGCTCCAGGGGGAGGGGGGAGGGGCAAGCTCCAGGCCTCACTACAGTCGTACACCTCCAGACCACCACCACAGCTTCAGTGTGCTCCATTCCGGGAGGGTCCACGAAAAGCAATACATAGAGTTGCGTCAACCTGGATGCGGTTTCAGCATCTCTCCATCAGTCCATGATGTTGGCAACTTGGAAGTTGAAGCGGATTTATTTTCCACCATTCCCACGTGCTCAAGGACATGGGCTTCAGCGGCTCAGAAAACAGTGACTGAAAGGACAGCCTCAAGAGTGTTTCCTACTTTCATTTCACTTTCTTGTTCCCCCACCCCACCCCAGGCAGCTTTTGTTTGGGGGTGGTTGGTAGTGTTGTTGGCATTTTACTCAGTGTTGTTGCTGTTTTTAAGGGTATCTGTAATTTGCTTGACATCTGCACCACTTTGTCTCCCTTTGGCTTCCTTCATCTTAGTCCTCCCACATTCTTGTCTGGAAGCAACCAGTGCCTGCTCTGATCCATTTGTAATCCATCTCTCAGATTTCCAGCCTTGACATTTCATCATGAAGTATGCATGGGTCTGAGAAGGACCGGAGCCCCAGCCCCTCATCACCATCCAAACCAGCTTTCATTAAGATTTTCAGGCCTCCCAAGTGAGTCCTGAAAATCACACCTGCCAGAGGTCCCCTTCCCCTACTCACCTGACTCCAAGTCCTAAATCCCCCAAGGCTAGGCCTCACCATCTGAAGCTACGTTGTCCTAGCTTCCACTTGCCAAGTGCTCTTAAAGGCACGTGTCACATGAAAGGGAGACTTCTTACAAGTCTGGAACCACCTCCAGTGGTATTACTAGCATTCCATGATTTTGAAGGGCTGGTAGCTGGGACTCATGAGGAATTGTACAGCTAAGGACTGTGCCGTCTTTCATCTTCAAGCCAAAACCCTTGTGTATTGGTTCCTGTAAGAATATGGATCCATATTGGGTCGAGGATGAGCTGGGCTTGGTAGGTTAGGAAAATTGAGTAGGGAAAGGCCATGACAGAGTTCACTATTTCAGAGCCCCTACACATAGCAAAGACAGCAGCAGGAGCAGCAGCAGCTACAGCCACCATGTTTCCCCTCCATCCCAACACTTGATGGTTACACCTGACCCTGGCCCATATGGAAGGATTTAGGAAACTCCTTAGTGAAACGTTTGCCACAATTCTCTGAGCACAACTGTTTGCCAGGTGAAGTGTAATCCTTCTAAATCATTTTAAACCCAGAGGAACAGCGTCGGACTTGGCTAAATCAAATTTATCCTAGCTGTGAGAGGCCAGGCAAGGGAAAATGAAGAGGCACTGAGTATATGTGAAAGCCTACCAGGGTTTTTTTAAACTGAGTTTTGGTTTTTACTTCCTTTTTTTCTCCCCCTACCTTTGACAGAGATGTGCTATTTTTTTATAGCATGCAATTATGTATTACGTTTGAACTGTCCAAGTGCAGAGAAGACTTTCAACTTGACTTGGTCAATGTCTCTTGCTGATGATCACTGCAGCCCCTTGCCTACTGTGGGAAGCCCCCTGCATCCATGATGGCACCTGGGTTGAAAATTGGGTATGAATCCCCCTCACATTCCCCTGTATTCTGAGGAGGATCATTTTACCCCACTTCAAAAACCCATTCAACAAACAGATGTGGATTTTGTTATCAAGATATGCCGCTTGCCAAAACATGGAACAGAGTTCAGAGAGACCACTGCCCATTATTATCTGTTATTTAGCAGGTCCCCTTCTGGGCAGGTTTGCAGGTTGCCAAAAAGGTAAGGAAGTGTTTTCTGCCTACAGGAACTTCCCACCTATCTAGGACTCAAACTATTCCTCTGCAGAGATGAGATCTTTGAGTATTATCTGACCATTCTTTACAAGAGGGGCCCTTGTTCACAGCTCTGACCAGTGATATGGAGCTGAAGTTGGAGCTCAGAGGGCCACTGTGATTTGGGGTGGAGGATGAAAAGAGCCATTCTCTCCATAACCACAGCCTGATTCAGTCTTGGGAGCTAATGTGTCGCAGGTAGAGTCCTTGAATGATCAGGACAAGAGCCCTAAATCTGGGTAACATGAAGATATGTTGTTCTATACTGTTTCCAAATGATTTCTAAAGTACTGAGTGACTCAAGATTCTTGGATGAAAGGTATTACAGGCAAACATTGATTATCCATCTGTACATTATCCATAGAAGATTCTTAGTCCCAGATGGGTTTTCTCTTTTCTACTCAACATATGACTGCATCACCTTCCTCTCCATCAATCACTGTGGGCTCAGAAGATAAAAACTGATTTGGATACTAGAATGAGGCAAACATGATTTAAACAAAATCATAATACATTCCAAAGCCAGATTTTTAAAATGACTTTTGAACTGCAGTATGCTTCTGGATTATCAGCATCATTGCTCCCCTATAGTAATAAAGATTAGCAAGAGTGATATATATATATGAAATAATAATCGTAACTATTGCCCAAGCTCACCTTGCAAGATTTCCTTTGTATGAGTTTCAGGTTCCTCATCTATAAAATGAGGGGTTGAATTAGATGATCTCTAAAGTTTCTTCTCTAAAGCTATGGCCCTCTTATCCTACCTCTGTGACCTTGGGCAAGTCACTCTTAGGGCCTCAGTCACTCAGGGCCCTCTGAGAAATGGGTAGATTAGACTAGATGATTGATCTATGTGATTTCCAATTAAATCCTATGGTTTGGGGCACAAAGACAGGAACCCATCAAGCAGTGGGTAGCACCCTGCAGTTTCTACTGTTATCATAGAGCTCTATGCTTCATAAAACACCTCTACATTTAAGGTCAAAACCCACTTACCAAGCACCAGGGATTCCATATGAAGGACCGTGTCGGGGGAAATCCAAAGGTAATTAAGACATAGCCTCGACACATCATATCAACAAAGGCCTCAGATTTTGCAGAAGTTATCTATTTACCTGAGCTGTAACTAGAAATTCTTTCACCTAGGCCAAAAATAATTGAACCTGAAGAGAGAGAAGTACCGAAGACAGTCTAGATATTTGGGCCCTGGGGCAAAGCCCCATTCACTGTATCCTCATTTGGGCTCTGCTCCTTACTGAAGATCAGTTTGAGGATTAGTCACTAATGTGACTCAGTTGGATAATTCAGGCAAGTTTGGTGTATAGCATGGGAGACAGCTTGCTAGGCATCTTCCCCCTCCCCCCTTCTATGGGTGTAAATACCACCCAAATAGACGTATGTATCCAAAGATGACTTTTTTCCCTTTTTTAATTATTACAGGATTAAAGGGTCCTTGAGGAAATTTTTGAGAGAGAGGAAGAGTCCCAAATGGCTAAACTATGACACAAATGTCAATTATTCCTTATGCTTTCTTTCACCATGTATTCTTTTTAAATAGACCACACAATCCATTTTAGTTTGGTGATTAAATAAAATTTTATGTTTCATGGAATCAGGAGCCCAGGAGGATTCCAGATCTCTACTTTTCCCTCCCCAATCTAGCTTAGCCATCATCTTATCTTCTTCCTCAGCTACAATATAATTCAACCCTACAGATAATGCTCAAACTAGTGGATTTTGGTTTCAAGGGGTGGGGATGCTAAATATTGTCATTAAGTGTAGGAATTCTCTGTCAGTGCAGGACTTTTGTATGCCTGAGGAAAACAAATCTTCCAGGTCTGTGAATTGCCCAACTATAACCCAATGGATTAAAAAAAGTTGCTTATTTCACCAAACCTAAATTTTCCTCCTTCAAACTTTCCCCTATTTTTTTTGGTGGCAATTGGGATTAAGTGACTTGCCCAGGGTCATACAGCTAATACGTGTCTAAGGCTGGATTTGACCTCAGGTCCTTCTGACTCCAGAGCTGGTGTTCTATTCACTACATTACCTAGTTGCCCCTCCCCTATTCTTCTAAGAACTAGCCTCTGAAGCCAAACAGAACAAGCTTCATCCTTTTCCACAGGATGGTCCATCAAATACTTGAAGGCAACTATCTTGTCTTCTTTAAGTCTTCATTTCTCCAGGCTAAACCTCCCTATTTCCTTCAACCAGTCATCATATGGCATGGAATTGAGATTCTTCTCCGTTCTCATTCCCTTCTATTGGACATTCTCTAGTTTGTCAATATCTATCCTAAAATGTAACTTTTCCTTCTGGGAAAAATCTGGAGGTTCCTATTATTATCACATGCACATTCTTCTTGGATGTGTCCTAAAGCTTGATTCGCGGTAAAAGTTTAGCTCCTAGATAGGTAAGAGTTTTGAGGAAAATGAGTGAATCGAAAGTGGAAAGGACATTCATGTCCATGGATTTATGTCTAACAAGATGTGCCCCATTAGCATTTCTGGACAAAACAAGTCAGACTTTGATTGGATTCATGATTTCCAATCCCAAAGTGTCAAATGGCCATTTCAGGTATGGCTCTCAGGAGTCCTTCTCACCTCCTTCTCCAGCCAGGGACAGTAAGGCATTTACACCTGAGGCATCTTCCCATTGCATCCTCATTTTCCCCTCTTGGAACTTGGGAATCATAGAAGATTAGAGCTGGAAGCTTAAAGATCAGTCATCTCAGACCGTGTCAACTCACCCTCACTTCTCATTCTTTCATCCTGTTTTCTTTCTCCATTTCCCCTTCCCTCCTTTCCCTGCTTTCTTTCTCTTCCATAGGTCAACCAGTGAAACTCAAGCACTGCTCAAGACTAAAGAAGTCAGTGGCCCCTCATTTGTCATTTTGTTTTTGTTTTTGTTGTTCTCTACATATAACCGTATCTAGATTTGAGCTTCTAACAAGAAAAATCATTTACTATAAAGCAAATGGGAAGTACAGTTTCACATAGTGAGTTCCCCATTTCTGTAGCTACCCAGACTGTCAAGGGTGTCATGGGGAGGGGGGCATCCATACATTGTAAAGGGAGTTGAATTCAGTCATACAATTCGGATTGGGAATATTCCTTTGAGATCATTTGATGAGCCTGAGCTCCCTTCCAGCTCTGAGATCCTGCGATCTCAGCCCAACTTTCTTATTTTCACTGTCTCTTCATTTCACCAATCTTGTCCCAAACCACTGGTGGCTCTTGCTCCTCTCAGGCTTTCTTACCACTAACTGCCCCCTTGATAATAACACATCCATCCTGCAGTTTAATTCACTCTCTCCCCACTACTGTCTCTACTATTCCAACTCCTCCCCTTTCCCCTCCTCCCACTAATTTCCCAAAGAGCTCTGGGCACAAGAGAATCCATTCCCACTATTCACTCAGAGAATCATACCACCATAAATAAAGAGCTAGTAGGGACCTCAGAGGTCATCTAATCCAACCCCCTCATTTTACAATTAAGGCAACTTAAATGTAGCCCATCTCAGTGAAATTACTTGCACGAAGTCAAATGGTTTATAAATGTCAGTCACAGTATCTGAGCCCAGCTCCTTTGAGTCCAAAGCTAACATTTTTTTTATGTGAGGCAATTGGGGTTAGGTGACTTGCCCAGAGTCACACAGCTACTGAGTGTTATGTATCTAAGGCCAGATTTGAACTCGGGTCCTCCTGACTCCAGGGCCAGTGCTGTATCCACTGCACTACCTAGCTGCCCCAAAAGCTAACATTTTTACCAGGCCATCTCTCATTTTAATTCTTCTCATTATTTCACTACAAATAGATTGTGAGGTGATTAGAGATGCTTCAGAAATGTGATTACTGTTCAAATGGAGAAAGAGGAAGATAGAAATGGTCATCTCCACTTGTTCGAGCTGGTGGCATCTGGGGCGTAGCAAATAGCCACTTAGCAAATGTTGGTTAACTATTGCTAATGAGTGCCTTGAATAATAGTGGTTAAAGGAGAATGGCAAAAAATTAAAAAAAAAAGCCCGTGATTGGTGCCACAGTGAGTAAAGAGGTAAAGTTAGAGGATCTTGAAATGAACAGGCAGAGTGAGAAGACAATGAATATGGAGGCAAGAGGATCTGGGTTAGAATGCCACAGGCTCTACCCCTAAGAGGATCTGGGTTAGAATGCCACAGGCTCTATCCCTAACTGCCTGGGCAGCCTTGGATAGGTTGCTTCCCCTCTCTATACCTCAGTTTCCTCATCTATTATAAAAAGGGGGGATTGGGCTAGATTGTGTCTAAATTTCCCTCCAGCTCTAAATCCAGTTCTAAACCTCTGGAAACTGCTGTGGTCATCAGTTTGATATGAGGACTAGAATTTCAGTTCTTCGCTGAATGGACTTGTTTTTGAGGGACATGATTACAGCCCATGACACTGGATAGCAGAGAAAAGAGAAGAGGTTGATTCTCAGTAAACAATGATTAAGTTACCATCATTACTCAGTCCCTCTCCTTCAGTCTTCCTTCCTCCCCACCTAACAACCCCAAGGTCGTGATAAAAGCAGGCCTTATTTTAAAAGCCCATGGATCAATAACCAGCCTCTTCCACTTCGATCCTTTTAATGGAACTGAATTGTAATCCCCGGAACGGGTGGTAAGGGTTCCAGATACTGTAAGGGGCCATTAATAACCAGACTTCAGTTACCACCTGCTCAACGAAAGCTCTCAAGTTGTAATACTTATTCTACCAGGAAAAAGCCAAGGTCAAGCCCATCTCTTTGCCCTGCCTCCAAACTGAACCTGGCTCATGTGCTTTGTGATCAAGAGGCTCTTTCAGGACAACCTGTGATCAAAGCTCTTGAATCTGGGGGCATTGAGACTATACCTAAGGAACAACCATTCACTTCATATTTATTGAGAATGAGAAGACAAGAATGCTTTATTAGGAGGGTAAGACATGGCCTTACCACTGTCATGGGGAAAGAAAAGATATGGAAAATCCCTCTCAGCCTATGTCAGGTGGAGTCTTTTTTGGTCTCCAAATCCTAGATAGCCTACTCCTGTGACATTGCCTTTCTTCTTGAAATGATGGGTCATAGGAGAAGGGAATGGGAGAAAGAAAGGGGCTACACACCTACTCTACAGACCAAAGACAGAGAATCATTGAGGTGGATGACCTATTTCTTCCACTGACAAAGCTTTGTTTTCGTCAAATATTTTCACAAACAAAACTCAAGGTAAAGACAGGAAGGGAGGATGCGTCACGGAAGGAGTGCTGGACTTAGAGTCCAAAGACCTGGATTCAAATTCTGACTCTACTACTTAACTATGTGACCTTAGGTAAGTCATCTCTCATAGCCTCCATTTCTTCACTTTTCTTTCTTAAAATGAGGGGGTTGGAGTATATGATCCCAGAAGTCCCTTTTGGGACTAATATTTCTGGGATTCTGAGTCCCAGTGGAATGTCTGGGTATTCTCTCAAACATTGATTTATTTTACCAAATCCCAAAGTCTAAAACAAGTAGTGGCCTTAGTCCCCCTCCATCTTTCCCATTAAGAGCTTAGCCCTCATTGCTCAGAAATTTCAGCCCAATCCTTTGCCTTCTTGAACACTTAGTTGATCCCCACATCCTTCTGTCTAGAACTGAGAATGAAATAGAGTATATTGATTTGCAAATTGCCAAAGAGTGCCCATGTGTGTCCAGTGATTAAACAATGTCTCCAGGTCTCCAAAAGAAAACACTAGAGTGTTGTAGGTACGAATCGATAATTGTGCAGATGAAGAATGAATAACAGATGGGCTTTTCTGTCTGGAACTTTTTGCTGTACCAGATGGTACTGATGCACTAGTGAATCCTTGGGAGGAGGCAGGGCGCCCTCTGCTGGATCATCTCTTTCTTCTCTGGCAGAGTCAGGACATGACTTTTCATGTCCACTTCCTCAGTCACTGAGCTTGGGGTCTTAATTTAAAATTACAACTATTTCTTCAGCAACACCGATATGGTCCACTTAAAAAAAAGAGACCACATGTGAAGAACACTGAAATGTTGGATGGGAAACCCAAGTGGGTGGGCAATCTCACCATCAGCAGCCTCTTCTGTAAAATAGAGAAGTTGTGTTTTCCAAGAATGTGAGCTGGCTAGAATGATTGCCTAGAAATCTAATATCAGGGACTAACTGCTTTGTCCTTGTTACCCTGATAATCTGGCCATGTGAAATTCACGAGGAAGATCAATAAACATGCTTCTTTCGGATGAATGTAAAAGGTGTGGACGATCCAAGTGTATTTGTATCTGTACATAGCCCCATATTTATTTCTCACTTCCACCTTAGTCATCTGGAAAAGGCTGTACCATTTTATAATTAGAAAAAATGTAGGGGGGGAGGGAAGGGAGGGACTGTTATTTTTATAGTGGGATGTTCCTTGTATTTAGCAAACTTTACATGGTTTTGTACTTGTGAAAAGATACATTCCATCCATTTCCAGGGGGGAAAATAGATTTTTTTTTCTTTAAAGTAGATTTTAAGATTAAAAAGGATGTGGGCTCCATTTAACATAAGATGAGCTGAGAGCAGGTCATTTTGGCTTCTGGAGTCAACCTCCTAAGCAGTATCTAATGATGTCAGGCTTATTAGACTGCAAACCATTACCAGCAAAGGCCAATACACAAAATGTGAAAACACACACACACACATACATACACACACACACACACACACACACAAAATTATTTTAACTCCTTTTACACTTTCTCACTTAAACATAAGCTAAATATCTGCCCTAATGGATCTATTTCCAATTAAGAGATCACTTTTTTCTAATATTTTTGAAGCAATGATTGGGCTGGACATGAAGGACATCACATCCAATTTTAGGACCTTCCTAGAAGCTAAAGAAAAATCCAATGTGTT